GAGCTGCACCTCTTAATCAGCTAGAAATCGCTTCCTACCATGGAAGTTTTTCAGCTCGGGAACAGAGAAGTCACCTGAGGCTAAATTGGAAGAGTTCGGAGGATTGGGGGAAAATTTCCCCACACAAAGCAACTGATTTGTATGTGCAGATCGCTGTCAATGACTGGTTTCGTAGCCAAGACGAGAGCGCTTCTACGCGAAAGGCGTCAAAAAGCTACTGTAATGTTAACAGAAATGCCAAAAAAGATGCGGAGACCACGTTAAAAAGTAAGGTACAGTCTACTCAATGAAAACTTTCAAAGTCCTTTTTGATTTGATGTTTAGAGGCGATAACCCGAGTCTAAGATAATCGACTTTCCGCGCATCCTGACCCCGAAGGTGGGCACGCGGCGACAGGAGGTTGTCTCAGTAAAATTAAGTTTTCTCGGAAACCCTTCAACCGATTTTCAAAAACTTGAGCTTGTTTTAAAGCTTAAAGTATGCCTAATAATGTCTTTTTTACTGATTTGATTTATCTCTTTTCAGTTGAAAGATACAAGGTAGGGAACCTTACTTTTTGGATGACCCTCGTAATTACGAATATCACCAAGCACGTCAACTAGCGCTGGGTTCATGCCACAAAAAACCGGAAAAAGGGCAATTATTTAAACACATTTTTGTAAATTTCATCGTTGGTGCTCAATCTCCTCTTTGATATTTAGTTTTTATAATGAATTGACGGTTATTGCTCATAAATAATAAATAACTCATATTTTAGCGTTTGATTATAGCTAATTAGTATGCCTCTGCCCTCGGCACAAATCCAATGGTGGTCGACAATGCAAATCGATCCTTAATAATGTTAAGCTCAATTGAAAAAAAAAAAAAAAAAAAAAAATGATTCGAAAATAGCATTCCGCATGTTTGATTTTTTTCTGCATGGACTCTTCTAAAATATCTCTCGATGAGACTATTGCATGTGAATATTCAGGTGTGTTGCTGAAATTGAACATGCATGGAGAAGAGGCGAAAAAATAAAGCGCACTCTGTGCGCTATAAAATGGTAAATATTTGGTCTCTGTTTGTGCCTCTGAATGAACTGACTCCACTCTCCCGTAAAAAGGGTATTTCTCGAATATTACCTATGCGAACACCATGAAGTAGGCTGTTTTACGGATTCAGGCTGCCTTAAATACGCTTGACGTTATTAGATTTTTGCAGAGTAGAAAAACTCATTGCGCACACACACGCCACATCAAAAAGATCAAGAGTGGGAACTGCAAGTATCAAAGTAGCAGTAAAGATATTGAAGTGTTTAAGTTAATTGATAAAAGCGCGAAGAAAATTTAAGTTGTGGGAGGATGGCATCCGGGTTACTTGAAATAGTTACTTGTAACTATTTCTGTTCCTTTATATTTTCATTTATTTTAGCCTCTCTTGTATCATACGTGCGTTTCATGTATTACACGCTTCTAATTTCCACGATTAAAAGTTTTTGCCCACTTGCGTTACAGCTCATAATTTCTCCTTAAAAACAAATTAGTATGATTTATTTTGAAGATCGTCAGTTTTATATCATTGTCATTTTTAATTTTACTGGTGAAAGTCCTATCTACTTTCAAAACCTCATCATTGACCTCCAATAAACTTCTCTTTGATCTTGAAGCAAGATGATGAACATAAATCATCCCACTCTCTAATTTTACAAATTGTATAATTTTGATAGATTTTTAATGATTACATTTAAATTAATTACTTTAAAAAAGTTGTGGCTTTTTTTTTTTCAAAGAAAAAAATCAAGAACACTGCTAAATCAGCTCTCGTAGTTATGCATGCATTTTGACGAAATCTTCACCTTTCTACACCTACAATGGCACAAAAAATACATGTTGTATTCTTCTTGATGGTGAAAAACTAAGATGCCAGGGGTTTTTTTAGGGTGGAGATGATGAGAGGACTCTCCACCACGGACGTTTTTTTCCCGGGTCGTATAATTTTCGTCAATTATAAAGGAAACCTCCTTAATTGTTACGCTTTTGGCCTACCCTTGAGGAGAAGTTTCGCCCCCTGCAGACGGGGGTTGAGGTCGATCCTAAAGTTGCAAAACCGAAACTTTACAGTCCGATCGGAGAATCGTCTAATGGCTAACGCTGCCTAAAATTAAAACCGGAGCGAAAGAATGGTTATTTATGAGGAATATTTAATTAAACAAAGCTCATCGGGGCTCAGCACGGATTCGCGAGGAAAACAAAGTAATAAATTGAAATTAGGCTGCTCTTTAACATAGGGGAGATGGCCAGCAGCGCCGGGGTGGTTATGCGCACCGCAATACACTATGACCCGTCGCGTCCCGGCGAGAAGTAATAGTTTGGCACCCCACTGCTCGCAGCTCCGACGCGACGATCCATTCAACCGCTGTTGTGGAGTTTTTGCCCATTTTTTAGGGATGGCATTATCGCCCTGCACGTTAAAGCTGTTTACAGGCAATGAGACCGCCGCCGCCACTGCTATTTTTCATTTAAATCAGTTCAAATGAATGGCCTCGAAGTAAATGGGGACAAAAGTTCGGAGCCGCGCCATCCATGATGACTATCTGCGGAATCTAATGGGATGAGCTTGTGACTTGGAGTGACCCTCGCCCTTCCTTCTTCTACACGCTCGCAAAACCATTCCCAGCAATGAATAAGTTCTCCTGAATCACTTGAATCACTGTCTACCCTGAATAATTGTCGTTTTTACTACATGAAGTCAAGAACTTAAAATATGTATCGAAAAATTTCGGGAATTGAGCCTACCCTAACAAAAGTTTTATGCTACGGCTAAAGTATTTCTGAAGCATTTAAGCGGAACGTACATTTGAGTGAGGTGATTCTTGCTTTGGTTTCTTTTCTTTTCTTTCTTCTCCCGATAAATACATCATATTGCTGATTGCGCACCTGTCAAAACGTTATTATCACTTACGCAAGAGAAGAAAGAGCACTTGCTTATTTAATTTTTAAGTGTTTTTTTTTATTTTTTTTATTTTTTATTATAATCATTTTGAAAGAAATAGAGATTGCGATTCTTCACGTTTTTTTTTTAAATGGATGATGGTTCAAAGTTCAGGAATGATGCAAAAATCTACGAAATTCTGGAATCAGTTTGAGTTGGATTGTTTGCAGTCAGCAATGCTGAGAAGTTACAGGGTATAACTTAGAATTTAAATCTGTGATAGAGACTCATAGTCTCACTTTTCTTCGACCAAATCTAGTTCTAATTAAAATCAAATATCGTCTCATAAAATGGATATAAAAAGCAAATATCTCGTATCTTTACACCAGATACTTTGTGCAAGTATCTTATGAAGATACTTATTAGCCTGAGACCACCAAATTACTTTTTGAGCTCGAAGGAGAGCCGATTCTATTGCTTTGGGGTATCTCTTTAGCGTTTTAACGCGCGTCTAATGTTTGTTTCATACGTTTGGATGTGCGGTAGGGATTATGCGCAGTAATTGGACCGCGTTTTAGCAGAAAGGAACCAAGCCACATCAGCTGTTGCCACATAAAACTGGGCAATTTAATTTTTTATGAGAGAACGTCTGAGCAGATTCCTCTGTAAATTTTAAAGAATTTGCTTCGCACGTAGAAAATGGACTGAAATTTGCACACAAGTTCGCACAATCGTTTTCATGTGTAAAATCAAACTGCCCAATTAAATTTGGCAATAGCTGATGTGGCTTGGTTCCTTTCTGCTTATCGCGGTCTAATTGGGATTAGAGCAGCCGCAGATACCCGTTTGAAAAAACTTTGAAAAAACGGGAAAGACTCGACCGCACTGTATGGCGCAATGCGTGAAGTATTCCTGCAGTCTTGCAGGCGCTGTTATGAGTTTGACGCCGACCGCAGAGTGTTTGGCGCGATTATTCGAACTCGCGTTATCATGCCACATCAGCTATTGTCAAATTTATTTGGACAATTTAATTGTTCACAAGAGAACGTTCATGCGGAATCCTTTGAAAAGTTTAATGAATCGGCTTCGTGCTTTGCAGAAAAATCCCTGCCATTTGCCTACGAATTCGCACAGCCGAATTCATGTAAAAAATTAAATTGCCCAGTTAAATTTGGCAACAGCTGATGTGGCTTGGTTCCTTTCTACTTATCGCGATCCAATTGGGATCAGAGCAGCCGCAGGAACCCGACTGAAAAAACTTCGAAAAAACGAAAAAGACCCGACAAATAGCCGGAAAGACTTAATTCGTGAATACCCCGGATAGAAACCATACACTATGACTTGAAGACAAACAATACTGCTGTGGGAAATGTAATCAATTATACGTTTATGCGGAAGTTGCGAGGAATGTTTTTGAGAGGATTTCTCAGCTATATACATATACTCTACAAGTAACTTTTCTTTAATTTTTTCATTACTTGAACACTTAAAACTTATTAGGAATTATATTAGTTATTATGGGTGGGCTTATTTATTGATTTCCCTTTATTTTAGGTTTAATTTTAAATAATTACAACCTGGTTACTCAATTTTATATTATATTTATGGGAGTAAACTTAACGTTTTTTCCGCAGCACTTTCTTGGCTAAGGTGGGATAGAGTTGGATATAGTATCACCGCCCCCCTTCCCATCCAGTAATTCTGGATGGTGGGAAAAGTTCTTTGTCGAGGATGGTTATCTCTCTTAATGTGGAGTCTCAAATGAAAACACCGTGTTCATTCACTTTATTTTCTAAAATTTTCATCATGGAAGCCTCCAAAATGCGTCCAAACAAAATTAAATTTTTTAAAAAATTCCGGATTCATTAAATGGGACCATTCGAAAGTATCCTTTGCTGAAAAGTAAAAAAATAAACATAATTTTTTAGCGTATATTAATGGAAAATCTATGTCATGGAAGGTTCAAATGCGTCCAAATAGAGTTAAAATTCCAAAAATTTTCCGCAGTCCCCCTAGCAAAATGACCCAGGTACGCCAATGAATATTTTGCTAACAGAGATTTTGGTGGGAGGCTTCAAGTGTAAACTTACCTAAATTGTCAGCTGCTGAATAGAATATCAAAGCGTAGAGGAGATGAAGTCTAAGGATGATATGCGAATGACGAAGAGCGGGAAGGCAGAGGACGGCTGCCAACCGAGTGGCGGAGAGTCGCATAGCACCGCAAATCAACGCATCTTAACACTTTTTTCGGGCCAGCAAATCACGCACTGAAACATACAAAATTCAAATCAGCATTTAGGATATCGCTCTTAATTAGCGTAATTGACATACACTGTTAAAAATATGTTATTACCTACAAAAAAGAATAATAATTGTAAAAAATTGGTAAAATTTAATCAAATCAATAATTGAAGAGTATAATGACTATGGGTCACGTCGAAAGCAGTGACGATCCTTGCAAGTTGGCAACACTGTTTACTCCATTCGGCAATTTTTTATTTAAAAAAAAACTCCCAGAACTTGCCTCATTTATTAAAATTTAAAATAGATCAGCAGACATTCTGGCAGAAATTTCGGTGGAAATCTCCAAAAGACTAAAATTCGCGAAACATTCTCAGAAAAATCTGTGCTTTTCGATTATTCTGACGTTGTCGGGCACGAAAATCGCTCGCAAAATAGATTTCCCTGACATGCCGAATTTTGTGGGCTCCCGAACGTTTTACCGATTTCCCTGACAAACAAAAAATTCCCCGACATTTCCAGTTTTCCCGGTCGCTTGACATCCTGTACCATTAAAATTTACGTAAAACAATCGATTCCTGCAGCTTGGGTGAGGCTAATATCGATATTTTTAATGGGTTTAGCTAAATGGAGGAAAAACGGGGTTTCCAACCTGCAAAATGACCACTGGTTGAAAGCATGAAAGAAGGTAGGACGCCCGAGTAAGTGCTTGCACGGAATAAAAGCAGGCCTGACGATAAAAAGACATATCTACTCATTTACTAGTATCTATCGGCTCGTAGGTAACAAGGTCAAAACATCAATTCGCAGGAGGTGAAAAAAAAAAACACCCTCGCGAATGGTGTGGTGTGGATGTATGTTGCGCCTTGCTTTGACACGTTATCAAAGCAACTGCTCGGCGTTCATTGCATTGATGAGTGTCATTTTAACGCCGCGCCGGCCTTTTGATGAAGCAACAAAGATCGTTTTCGCAGTACCGATATATTGGACCTTTGAGCCATTAAAAGGCGAATAATCGAGTCGACACTTTGGTGAATCGTTTACCGGCCGTTGCCATAGTGTTATCGTGGACATCAAGGATGCGTAAGAAAAATCATTCTTTTTTTTTCACGAAAAACGTTCAATTTATTTTATATCGTTGGCTACGTGCTATGGACGTCACGGGTATTTTCAGTCTGGAAATATCATGAGTCTCATCCTAGTTGGACTATATTTTGCAATAAGGAACAACTATCTCTGGCCCATCTGTAAAAATACGTATGTATATAAGGAAACTGGTAGTACATGCGTTGTTTGTAAACTGAACCAGAAATTGTAGGTCCTTCATGCAAAATGTAGTCCAGAAGTAGTTCATACTTATATTTTTTGTACCCTATGCAGATAGTGGACACCTATTCCGATATGATTCAGCGATAAATGTAAGTTGTAAATGTCTTGTTGTATTTCTAGCGTATTTAAACATAAGCCGATTCTGTGATAAAGTACTTGAGACTGCTTCTCCATTCAAGATCTTCGGATTTCTCGCAAGAATAGTAGTGTCCTTGCATTTGAAAAATGACTTTTAAAGAAAATACAGTAACGTAACGATAAAAATCTTCGATTTTTTTAATATCTCTATCAATATTCACCTCGAAGAGCGCGCAAAACTGAAGGTTGCCATAATTTCTTCATTTTCAAATTCTCAGACTTTCCCTGATTTTTTCCTGACTATTTTCGGTTTTCCCTGACTCCAAATTGTTTTGATTTCCTGAATTTCTCTCATCTCTGAACAAGATGTCCCCCGTTTTATTTTTAAATGAGCTGACTTTTGCTAAACTTTGGACAAAATTTCCTCATTTTGAGATCAAATTATGTATAAATGCATTCAGTAGCTGGATAAAAGATGAAAAACCTTAAAAATGACCAGAGAGAGTAAACAGTCGGCAGATAGTGAAGGTATTGGAAAATGTATCAGAAATGGGGCAGAAAGCCGCATGTGGCTGCCTGACCTCTTTCGGTCGTCGCAAATTCCCTGACTTTCCCTAATTTTCCTCGTTTCCCAGACCACCGGCAACCCTGCATGACTCATAGATACTCACGCAACCTATTTACACCTACGTTTCATTGAGGAGATAGACTTCTTCTACTTAGCATCATTCCATTAAATAAAATAAAAAAATCGCGTAAGATTTTCTTAGAATGCGAGCTCGAAATTAACTTATAATCTTGTATGTGAATATCCATACATTGAAACTTTGATTTCAACCCACCCTTAAGCGCACAAGCAACTTATAGATACGTAACATTGTCTCTTAAAACACCCTTTGATGCTTGTTGTTCGCAAAACTCCAGTTTAATCGTTTCTGCGTAGTCTCCATACAGTTAATCATTTTTATGAACAGAGATAGCCTCCTTCTGAACTTGCCTAATGAGATGACGTTCCGGGAAGCAAAGGATTCTGCTAATTCTTGACAAAAAAATCAAGGCATCATCTGCATTTAAAAGAAGAAAATGTTTTCGAATTTCTTACTAGACTTGCTAAGACTTAGACTTATAAGCTTGAGAAAAAAATAGAACTGCCCTCTCCTGAAATCTAAGACTGACTCGTGTAAAGTTGCAAATTACCAAACGTTTAGACGACCAAATATAAGAATATGGCCAAAAAACCACGTAAGAAATTACTCGAGTTGCGTATTGACGTATGGTCGAATTGTATAAAATGTAGGGAATCCTATAAGCGACTTATTAGTTTATGCAAGAGTTAGATGAAACTTATATCTAACATTCACTCGAAGAAAAGTCTCTTGGATCTACAGAGTCAAGACTCTTGAAACATTTGACAAGAAAAAAATTCTTGCTTCCATCGTATTTTTCCTTGAAGCGCGAACCAAACATCTTCGTTTAAGTGGATTTCCTTTCGATTCAAGCAAAAATCCAATGGAATGAAGAGTTATCTTTCTTGTCAAATTGTTTGGGCTCTGGAATAAAGAAACTTTCTTTATCCGTGTTCGAATCGACGATTTCCTAACCTAACTTGGAGTATTTTCAAAATTCCAATTGGTTTTTCTCATTGAGTGCATAGAGTCGTAATGTTAATGGAAGAACTGGCGCCACTTTTAAGCATGTTCCAGGTCCCGAATTCCGAGACTCCTCTGTGACGCCGAGTCACTTTTTCGATACCTAATCGATTGTTTTCGATACACGGGGGCCGCGGGCCCAGCTATCCGATGTAAACAAAGGAGACAGCAATTACTACGTATTCCACACCATCATTTTGGATCGAACATGCATCGAAAAAGTGACCGAAGCTCGGCGCACGCCGGGCTCGGGGCTCAGCGACCAGAACATGGCGCCAGCTCTCCCATTTACATCACGAATCTATGTGCGATATGGTTTTTTTGCATCGGATCTTAGACGCCCTGCTGAGTCTTGTTTTAGCGTGGCACGAATTTCGCTGCGTCATTACTGCAATTGGCGTAATTTTTTATTTCTCCTCGGACAAAAATCTCGTTGGAAGTTGCGGGGATCTGGATAAGCGGAGCGGAGAGACGACGCAAATTCCTGGTTTTATGTCGTTTAGCGCCGTTCGCGTCTTCGGGGGTAAAGCTTCCCCGTGGAGATGGCCGAATGACCTCCTGGTTTGAAGAGGGACTCGCGAGACTGCAGATGATGAGAGTGGAAATGCAGGGCCATAAAAATCGACGACGTCAGAAGTTGGCTCAGAGCTGGGGGAGCTTTAAAGAAATCGAATAGGAGCTGCCGCCGCGGCGAACCGGAAATGATTTTCAGTGAAAAACGTATTCTATTTGGATACAAACCACGACCGCCGCGAGGCCACGAGGCATTGCCGTTATGACTTCATGCATTACTCTGCCCTGCCGAGGAAAAACGCCGTATGAGCCTTCGGACGTTGCCAAGTTCCCTCCGATAAAAACCAAAATTGAGGCACCGGATGCGAAAAGGGCACTTCTCGATTGCAGCGTTTCAGGATCTCCGTTGCTAATTAATCCCTTGAAGAAGAATTTGATGGGGGATTTTGCCAGAATTCTTTCCATAGATAATTGTAGAATCATAAGGAATATATTCAGTGAAATTTTTAGTGAAATGGATGCATTCACTTTCCTTACAATGGATGAAATATTAGAGGAGACTCTGTAACACTGCAAACGAGAAGTGCCCTTTCGCATTCAGTGCCTCGATTACGGGGAGAATTCTGCCGTGCTAAGGACACACGTCGTATGAGCCTTTAAACGTTTCCAGATATCCTTTGATAAAATGTGAATTTCCAGGGTAGTAAGCGATTACTTTTCTTTGAATTTTCCAGAGAATTCTATTCGTAATCATACCTATAAATCTGAAAATTTTAAGTGAAAATATTCATAACTCTTCTCAAAAGTAAACATTTTATCGAAGGAAATTTGGCAACTCTCGCATGCTCATACGGCGTTCTTCCTCAGCACGGCAGACGCAAAAATTTCAGACGATTTTATACGCAATTTAATCTAAAATATCTGAAAATCCCGAGGAAAAATATGTAGGTGTGAATATCGTCCAAAATACATGTTTTATCGATGGAAATTTGACAACTCTCGAGAGTTCATACGGCGTTCTTCCTTAGAACGGCAGTACTGTCCTCGCGAGTGGGATCATTCTAATATCCCGAACGCCACCCGAGCCACGAACAAAACGCCGATCATTCGTTTCTTCGGTCGATATTTCCCATCACTTGAACACTGGACGACTGACTTAGACTCCAAAATTATATTCTTACATTTTTCCTTTTTCTAGACGGCTTTGATAAACTTTGCTGCTCGAAAATACGAGTAGAAACGGAAGAAAAATTGGAGAGATTCAACCAGAATGCTGTTGCGCTGAGGAAAAACGCCGTAGGTGACTTCAGACGCTGCCAAGTTTGCTTTAATAAACTTCGGATTTTCCGAGGAACTTATGAATATTTCCCTTCCAATTTTTCAGATATTTGTAATCGCAATTTCAACCGAAATATCTGAAAATATCAAGAATTATTATTCATAGGTACCCTTAAAAG